GAGGGAGCAGGTCACCTAGTTACTGCAACCGAAACAATCTATTGTAACAAACCTCTATTCAACTACAGGTCATCTTGGTTCCAAGCTACTGCTAAGAAACCTCGCGAGGTCCTTTGGCTGAATGCCATTTAGGTCGTGTTCCCTCTAGGTATGGTGATCCTAGGGAACGAAGTCTGGTGCAGGGGAAGTCTTCACAGTGACACATATTGTGTTCTGCTGTTTCCTGTTCTTCGTTGAAAAACCTACACTGGTCAGAGTTAATAACTCCTTTGTTTGACAAGTGTTACCCTACAGTGGCCAGTAACAATTATTAATTCAGCCTACTGAGGTGAAGGAGTTCTTCGGTTCTCCTTGTTTAGGTACTTATCCGGAATGAAAAACTTGGCCTCTCCTTCCGTATTTTTCCGTATTTGTAATGTTGCGCTTCGTTCTTAATCCAAATATAGATTCAATGCATAGGAGCATCTTAACCCTAGACTCCGTTTTTGATACTCCATTATTCATACTACAACCCTAAAAATTAAAGCAACTCTCAGAAAATGATTCTCGATTATATAAATATTAGCTTTGATTGGTCGTGGTGTTTAGTCGGATCACACGACAGTCGGACTGTCATACTGGCATCATTCCCCCCCTTTGAGGAATTCGTATGTTGTCACAACAACATCTCGGATCGCTTACTGATAGCTATTTTAAAGGTCACAACACTCGTACGTTTAGTGTGCTACGATTTCTGGCCACAATGTCGCTGTCTTCAAAAGTGGTTACTCAATGCTGGCGAACTCTTTTCAAGATGGCTAAAACATGCTGTATACGCATTGTCTAGGTCCGGGGCCACTGCGATATCAAGTGAAATTTCCAAGTTGACTAGCTTGCGCATCATACCTCGACATTGCTTGATACAGATAGCAGGGATGCAAAGGTATCCCTCTTCAAGCATGCAAAATTCTACCAAATTAATGAAAAAATAAATTTCCAATGAAAGTGGTACCAACTTGCCATTTTTCCAGAACCCCATAAGTGCCCAACGCACAAAGTCTCTACTTAACCTAAGCAGGCAAGACATCAGCATAGACACTGGAGTTTTTACTAGAAACAGTCTTATTGGACTAGACACACGTTAGAGTGACTACTGCTGAGGTTGAAAGGCCGTCCCGTTGCCCGTCACTAGCAAAGCGGAAAATAAAAGTTTTTGGTAGTAATTCCTTTAGTGTACCCATTTTTTCGTTAGAACCAAGTTTTGTTTTGGGGGAACAGGTATAGCTGTAAACCCAATGCGGTATTACAAAGTATCCTTGTCTTAAGTGAGTTCCACAAGAGTCTACCGTCCAACTTAATCTAACCTAAGCTTTGATAGTGGCGATAGAAGCTTGCTCGATTCGAGATTTGTGTCCGATAAAGAGTCGAAGAAGTACTGGTGAGGACACCGCAGCCTCAGTCTAGCCAGACCTGAACAGTGCCAAAGCATCGAACACCCGATACTCTCGATTTCTTCATCGTAACGACAGCTGCGACAGTAGTCGTTTGCCAGTTTTAGCCCATTAGCCTGGCGTGCGTTCCCAACAGGTGGTGACCCGTAATGACCGCTATTACCAGTCGTAGTCCAATAGCGCACTTTTTTTATCGACTCTAAGCCGCTGGTTCAGCGACTCATCTTTTATTAGCCAATGCGAGGAAGTTCGTCCTAGGCCAGAGCTTGCACGTTGCCAGCGTTTCAACCGCATCGTAAGAAGAGTTTATAGTCGATCCTGATATTGCAAGTTAATTTGCTTCGAAGATACTCAAAATATCTTTATAACCTGGCACCAAATTTTTAATATGGCTTCCAAAGTCTGTCTCTGATAGTACGGCATAATACATGGCGGATATGAGGATGCGTCAAAGACTATGGTTCCCGCCTGTGTATGCTACGAAAATGATGCAAATAAAGCAAGAGTCCCATGATGATTTTTTGGGATTTCCCTAGGTTCAAGAAAGATAATCGAAAAGCAAAGCGCTCAAACTTTCCGCTTTTCCGCTCTATCTATTTATTTGACTACGTTCTGGGAAATGGAAATTTTTTTACTCACAAAGCTTTAAAAGCTTATAATCATCATGAGCTATAGCCAAATTAGTAACCCCGAAAAAGCACACTTATTGTAAATGTATGTACGTCTATTTTCTTAACAAAAACCATTTATTTACATTTGTATGTACAATTCAACAACAACTACTACTACAACTTTTGATTACCTCGAAATTTCTCACTCCATTCTAAACAATTAAATTTTATCAAAACTGAATCAGACAACACATAAATTAGAGAAAATTAAACGCAAACAGTGAATTCTAAAAGCATTGCAACATAATAATTAACCATATACATACATGTATAAATGCATATATGTAAATACATATGTATATGTATATATATGTATATATATATATATATAATTATATATAATTTAATATTATTGTCAAGAAGTTGATCTACGTTTTTTGGAAATGGCTGTGCTATTACATATTTACCAGATATTTATTTGAATTTGAACTGCTAAGTAAATTTAAAAAAAAAAAAAAATAGCTTAAAATATATTTACTCAAAAAAAGTTCGTTTAAGCAATAAAATAAATACTTAATTGCCAGTTTATTTTAAACAAGAATCAATGGAAAAAGAGTGCGCCAGTGTGCCAGCTTAAATCTAGAAAATACATGCGTAAAAGCATATCGGAGCAGAAGAACACATGCTTGAAATGCAATAAGCAACAACAAATATTAAAATATGATTAAAGTAAAGTGGAAAAACTTCTTGAAAATATTAATGAAATTCTAAGAAAAATTTTGGAAAATTAAAAAAAAACTTTCTTTTATTTGAAACTTAATAAGAAGAAGCGAACAAAAGAAATACACGCAACTCAAATTCACAGCAAACAGAAACAGTTTCCAAACAAAGAAATATGAATTAT